CATGAGTGGAATGATATATCCAATAGCCTTTAAAAAGGCGGCCAATCCTTTACCACGATGTTTTCGAATACCAGTCCAAAGAGGCTTGAGAACGGAATCAAAAGATTCGATACCGTATGGTGCAGCAGCTTCGGCTAAAGCAGCTATAGCTAAAGCAGTGATTGTACGCACTTTCTGTTGCTCATCTTCCAGACCGTGAGCTATAGCTTCTACTAAATTTTTAAGATGAGGTAAAACGGCACAACCCATCAAGATAGCGATTTGCTGTACAATTTTGATACCAGTGTGTCTTGCTTGCCACGATTTTTTACTCTTGCATACAGCCTTTAAAAATGGAAGTAAAGCGGGAATACCATGTGCCGAAGCTACCACAGAAAAGGCACGAGCAGTTGTATTACGGACATATTCATCTACGTGATCGATATCTGGCCTCATAGTAGCTATCATCGTTGGTAATCCGGCAGCTTTACTAAGGTTACTTATAATTTCACGTCCCTCACAACGAGCAAAATAATCTTCGTCAATCAAAAGTGGCTCAATAACCACAAGAATTTTATGAACATATGGACGAACAAGTGCATCCAATTTATATAATATACGATCAATAACTTTAACTAACAAATGTCGTTCTTGATCTTCCAAATTTTGTGACATCAACAATGGAAGAATTTGATTAAAAAGAGGACCTGCTCCAAAATCTCTTGCTTTATCTGTAATCTGTCGAAGTGCAGTTTTTCTCATTGGAGGAGTTCCATTCTTAATTTTTAGAAGCAAACGCATAATTTTGCGTTCTTTCAATTCTTCAACAGACAATTCACTTTCGTCTTTATCTTCTAATAATTTGCCAAAATGTTGCATGTCTTCTTGTTTGAAGAATGGCAAATTGCCAACACCAGGAATATCAGCTGGTAAATCATAAGTTTGCATCCTATCTTCTTCTAACATCACAAAACCATCACTCGCCAAAGGGGTTGGGGTTGCCATTAATTTTCGTGCGGGAGTTCTAATAGGAACATATCCTGCTGGTGGGTCTAGCACCTTGTAACCTGTTGTTGGGAACATTGCATCAAGTTCCTCATCTGAAAGAGGCCTATTACGTGCATCTAAATCTTTTTCCCAACGTTGAGCTAGTTTAAATGTATAATATATTAATACGAATTCGTAGAGAAAACATATATATATAAATGGTAAATGAACTTACCTTCCGGAGTCATAGGCATTAAATGACCAGGTGTGGGGGTAAGTAGTCCCAGATTACCAACAGGAGTAGCTCCAATTTGGGCAGCTGGATGTGAGGGTGTTTCGTCCCAGCGAGATTTTTTGGTCGAAACCTGAGGTGTTACATCCCATCTGCTTCTTTTACGGGGAGTATCCATTCCAACGTCTTCGGATGTTCTAGGAGTTTCATCCCATCTACTTTTTCCAACA